ATTATGATATTCTCTTTCTTAATTTTAATTAAACTATGCATTTTTCTATGTTAAACGATTTAAATGGTAAACTTTATTGTTGTAAAAAATGGTAAAATTTAAAATTTCAATACACTTTTCTATTGATATTATAACCTTAAACATTTTCTATTGATATTGTAACCTTAAATAAATATCGATACTTCGAAAGATTACTCATTTGCTTTTAGGTAAAGGATACCTTAATTTAAAAAAAAAAAAAAAGATAATATCATAATCAATTTTTACCTAAACTTCTTTTTCTAGCAACATTTTATATGACATTTTCAATATCATAACCAAAATGTTGTATCGGAAAATATGTAGGAAACTTAAATTTATTTTAAAAAAATCAAAATTTTTAGATGATTAACCTGTTCGAGCCTCTAAGTAGACTAGCGAATTTAATCTTAATAAATTAGTAAGTATTTAATATGAAATCACTATAGTAAAAAGTTGATCCAATTATAATAACTCTAATGATAATATCATACGAGGAATGAATTTACATCAATGTAATTATATAAGAAAAATACAATTGTGTTTCTTAATATTTTGTGTACAATTTTTTTTGGTATATATTTTGTGTACAAATTTTAAGAAAACACAAGTTAAACAGACAAAAGATAATTTATGCAATAGCTTGATCTTTAACAAGATAAAAACAAATCTATCATCCTATGGTAAAATAAATACTTTTATGAAATATTTAATTTGAAAAACAAAAATGTTTTTATCACAAGTTTATCTTCCTTAATGTTAGTGAAAATAGAGAGCAAGATTTTATTTTACATATATTGACTTATCATTACCTCTCGAAATCACGTTTAGTCTTTGCCAAGAGTTTCACTAAATATGGATTTAACGGAACCGAATCTCACATTGTTACAAGTATCTTTTTTTTCTCTCAAATCTCTTCGGACTCAAATCAAGTTTTTCGTCCTTTTTCTAACTAGTCCCTTCAAGATTAACCTAAGTATGATTCATAGTTACCTTTTCAGACACAATCTCAAGTAATTGTACTAATTCATCCCTCAAAGCTTTCTTAATCAAGTAGGATAATATATACTATCATCCTTTATAAGTTTGGTGGATATATATTTATTTTAAGAATACATTTTGATAGATTTACTTTGTTTAATAATTTATATTTTATATTAAGTTTTAATGATCTAATCGTTAAATTTAAAAAAAAATTTAATATATAGACTAAGTCTACAAATTTTAAAAAAATTTAAAAATCTTTTGATATTTCGTTTCATTAATTTAAATCGATAGATAATCATAAAAATATTTTATACGTTGATTTAAATTTATATAATAAAGTATTATATGATTTTTAATTTTTTTAAAAATTTGTAGACTTAATTTTAAAGTAAGTAGACCTATCCTTATATATATAAGGAGAGAGGTTCATTTACTCTAAGAGTAATTTTACTTAAACTTACTTCACTCAATAATTCATATTTTATATCAAATTTTAATGATCCAATTATTAAATTAAAAATTCTTAATGCATAGATCAAGTTTACAAAGTTTTAAAAATTTTGAAAACTATTTAATACTCCGTTTCATTAATTCAAATCAATGTATAAAATATGTTTATGATTATCTGTCAATTTGAATTAATGAAACAAGTATTAAATAATTTTCAAAATTTTAAAAAATTTGTATACTTGATTTATGCATTAAAAACTTTTAATTTAATAATTAAATCACTGATATTTGATGTGAAATATAAGTTATTGAATAAAGTAAATCTCATCTACTATATTATAATCGTCATTGATCTGAAAAATTTTATCATACAAACATGGTATAGGTTGAACAAGAAATTTTTTGTTGAATAAATCGTTCTTATAATGTATTTACAAAAAATTGTTCATGTACTTATAAAATATTTACAAAATTACAAAAACTATTACTTCTAAATGATAGATTATAAACGAAACTGAGTTATGTTTAGGGTTTAGGGTTTATGTTATTTTATGGTATTTGTATAAGGGAATGAATATTTTATAAAATTATTTCACACAATTTTACAATGATGAGACATTATCTGCTTTAGACTTAAGTGTTTTACTTTTAGTAATCACTCAAAAAATCTCTCAATCATTACAGAATGTGTGTTATAAGTTATTATTTCTTCTTTTATTTTATCAATATAAAACTTATTTGTTTCCCAATAAATTATTACGAGTTTTCTATTATCTGTAACTCACTCTTG